GGTTTTCGTAGGTTTATTCTCTTCGAAAACTTGATTTTCTTGCGTAAAAGTTTATACGCTGTCTTTAGTGGTCACAACGTAAAGCATAAGGAATAGAATGCTTCGTATTCCCTTCATTTTAGGAAGCCGAAGAAGGGCTTTGGCTTGTATCAGGGCCAGCAAAGCTTGATTAAAGGACGAATTTACGATGGAAAAGCAACCCATTTCAAATTAACCTAGGGATGGTGAGTGGTACACGAAAGAAAAAACCATGAGAAACGGCCCAGAACCCGAGAAATGGGACCCCTTCCGTTGATGCGACTCTCATCGTTGTGCCCTCTTCAACGCTACGCTCTCTCTCTCTCTGCTATCTAATCACTCGCCGCGTATAGACCTGCGGCGAGTGATTAGATAGTCGGTGGGCGTACCGCGCCAACTGCGCCAAGAGTGAGCCATGCTAGATCGCCGAGGTCAAATCTTTCGCTGCCAATTGCGTGTCTGTCCAATTCCCCTCAGAGAAATCCACCTATAGGACTCCCTGCAATGGTTTGATGGTGTCGTTGGTGTCGCTGAACCTGTCACTACTTGACACACTACAGATCCGCAATTGAAATTGTCCTCCAAAAAATTGAGTTGAGCGTATGGTGGCAGCGGGCCAGTAGGCGTAAACTGTCGGAATTCCCATGCCGTGAGTCCAAACATATTTTTTCACCGCTACGATAGGTCCAAAAACCACAAGTACGACTGAACTTCTCACAAGGAGGAGTTGACCCGTATGCAGACGATAAAACTGGAACCGCGCACATCAGGGACCGTATGCTATCCCCTTCGCTGGTGAGGTAAGTCACGTGGAAGGATACGTCATTAAGCGGCGGGTGCTGTAGCAGCTAAGGCTGTGTCCGCTTGGATCGCTCAAAGGGGGGGTCGCATTAGCATTTTAGAGGATGCGTCCGTTAAGGACGTGTTCACTGAGGTACCCATTTTTCGAAAAAAGTGAGGGCGAAACGCAGAGTTGTGAAATTGGTTCGAAATTAGCGAAGGGAGAGTCCGTTTCTGCTAACCTCAGCACGGCACGTACCCGCGCGGGGACGCTGCCAGGGAGAAATGGGTTCTTGGTTGGTGTTGGAGGTCTGTTCAGGACTAGTCTCAGATTCAATAGAAATGCGTAGAAAGGAGATATACGGTGGGCGTTAGAGGTCATAATGTAGGGGTTAAGCCTCCAGTTAGGGAAAAATTCAGAAGCTACGAGCGCCGAGTCTGGAGTATCTCGATACGCCCTTTCCCCCCACACGACAGTAAGCAAACCAGCCTTTGAGCGCTATTTCGGCTGACCGTATGACTGATATTGGCGGAGGGGATGGAGTCCCCGACGGTGGACGGACCACTTCAACTCGGTCCTTAGAACCGCCACAATTTGGTGCTTACCTCAGAACTAAGCCTTAAAGAGAGGACGGGTCCGTCCCCTCTCCAAGGCTTAGTCCTGGGGTGAGCAAACCAGCCCTTCTGGCGGAGCTGCTGGACCAGCTGCACCACTTGCGTCAGTACTCTCCTATCGTACCAACCGAGTTGAAGTAAACCGTCGACCGTTGGGGACCCCATCCCCTCCCCAACATTCAGCATACGGTCCCAGCCGAAACGCCAAAAGGGCTGGTTTGCTTACCCCCACCCTCTCACCCACACGTAAAGGAGGTTGCCCAGAAACGCGACCTCTTCACTACTCTCACTACGCCCATATCCTCTCCAAAAATGCTCCCTAACGGTGGAGGGGTAGGGGTAGGTAAACACCGCCTATGAGGACAGTACTGCCGCTTATCTCGATGATTCCTTCATTTCCTACTGGTAATTTGCTAATCTTACAAGAAAACTACCAAAAAATACCCCCATTTCCTCACCACAACAATCCCTTAATTTCCGGTCGCCACAAAAAAGCCTAAATCTCAATTATCGGACCCATTCACCTCCACAACCACATTGACACAAACCGCAGAATTTCGCAAACACATCAAGTACAAAACCAGGACCAATTTCGCGTGGATTACACCGACGTCGACTGAACATCGCTCTATTTGGGGGGTGATCCCTCACGAATGGTAATGGTTGGAGGATTGGGGAGGGGAGGGGGGGGGGGGGCCACGGCCCGGTGAGGGCCCGCGAGAGAGAAAGGTCGAAAAACTTCAGAACAGTCGGGTCCGGACAGTTGACCTTGGTGGTGACTCTTTGCTGTTGGAGCACTGTTCTATTCCGAAATTTCGCGCTGCTCAAACTGTCGAAATGGAAAGGATCTATAAGGTTCCTAACCTTAGCGTGCGCAACGCCCCTCACTGGTATCAGGAACGGTCTGGAAGCTACATGAGCTGGGTCTCTTAGAAAGCGTCAATGTGCTACACTCGTCTGCGCTTTCTCTCAAAGCATCCACCCCCACAAATTGGTGTAGTAATAGCGGTCGATAACGAAATTGCAGATGCCGAGTTAACTGGAAATGAAAAAAAGGAGAAAAGCAATACTCCCATGAAGCCCTTATACAAAAACTCCCTCTCTTCCCGCATGAACTACGACAGGGACATTCCGGACGAGTTTTCAGAACGCTTCCCTGGCTCCACTAATGCGCGCGTACCTGAATTAGCCAGTTCTCGTATTACACGTTGCGTGTCATGGGGTGAGTGCGAGGTATCTCGTCCATAAGTTCACATTAGTCGACCTCATTTGAGATTGTTTTAAGTAGTGGTTCATGACCGTAGTGACTTCGCATGTTCAAACTTTTCCCACACAGAAATTGCTCACGCACCCTCACTCCCTGAATGCCTTCCTTCTCCGACTTACGCGTCTTCCGCTTGATACCGCTAGAAGCTGTGCTGAGTGCCGCCCTATGAGGCCGGTTGGCACACCCACTCCAGAGCCCTTCCTCCCTCCAAGGCTTAGTCCTAGGGCTCTCACCTTCTTGGGATTTGGAGCCGAGCCAGGCGCCGTTCTCTAATCGTCTGTGCTCTGGCCTTTCGCGGCAGAGAACACAGGGGAGAGTTCAAGTAGTCACGTAATCCCCCCTCCCGGCCCCCCACTTTCTTCACGATTTGGGGCGCGGCCGCGGCGAGCGCGGACGAGTCGATAGTGCCCGCGAACTGTGCGGGTAAATTTGAAAACGCTCACCACCACAGTTCGCGGGCACTATCGACTCGTCCGCGCTCGCCGCGGCCGCGCCCCAAATCGTGAAGAAAGTGGGGGAGCCCAATGTGTTCAAGTAGTTCCGTCGTATCCTGGGGCGGTATTCAATCCTTCCCCCAGGGTTGGGGGACGGAAATCCCTTTAAATTTATTTGTTTTAACGATGTAGTTTCTTCATTTTCATGCATGCTTACTGTGACATACATACATACATTAAACCTAGGCCCTTTATCAGGACAATCCCAGTTGGGAAGACAGAGAAAATTTCAAAGGGATTTTCGTCCCCCAACCCCTGGGGGAAGGATTGAATACCGCTGGTAGGACAGAAAGCGACTTTTCGCGTTTCGCAGCGCGAAACATTTTTCGCTGCGGGAACCTCGGGTCCACTGATGATCAGCGGTGGACCTGAGGTTCCCGCAGCGAAAAATGTTTCGCGCTGCGAAACGCGAAAAAGTCGCTTTCTGTCCTTACTGAACCACACCCCGCAGATGACTGGTCGAGAATCCTTTCCTCAGTGCAGACCGTGGTGATCTGGTCCCGCAACGGTCCTTTCTGCCTTCGTTTTCGCTTTGTGTGTGTATGTAAGTGTGAATAGTGTGCGTTGCTTAAATCCCTTCGGTTGCGTGGCTTCATCGTCTTTCTTTCCGTTCACGACAACTCAACGGTTTAAAGTGAACTAGAACGAGTGCATAGCCAGGGACTATATGTATTCGATCAACTCATTAATCTTCACATAGAATCTTTCCTTCCTCGCTTTTCAATTTTTTAACTTGCGACGGTGTGCTCCACTCTCCTGGCCGGGAATGAGGAAGGGAGCCCTTTAAATTTATTTGTTTTTCAAACACGACTGTCCAAAAAAGGCGTATTCGGTACAGATGCAGAGTACAGGGGTGTGGCAAAAAAAATGCTGTGAATGAATGATATAAAAACAAATAGATTTACAAAAAAAAACAAATTTCAAAGAGAGTTCTTCCTCATACTTGGCTGAAGGGGGTGCTGCATAAGCCTCCAGTTCGAATCTTGGCAAGATTTTATTTATCCAAAACAAACTGCTGAAAGGGACCTGCTATAGGTCAAGGGTAAACTTATCGGTGAGTCGGCGGCTCGAACATCAGCATTCCGTTCTGGTCCCTTCGAGCCCAGTTAGAGGGAAATTAGGGCTTCTACGGCTTTGATCAGCGCCCACTTACGTTTGCTTCGATAGCTTGATTCCAATGAGAAAGAAATTGAGTGCCGCAACGCACCTGTGTGGATTTGCAAACAGTAATCTTGCTGGTCCGCAATGATGACTACCGTTGCCCATCATTCGTTTCGGGAAGGACGTCAACTGTGGAAACTGCAGAAGACAAATAACTCCTGAAAAAGATGTAACCAGTACCTGAGCAGTGAACGTTTTGCCACTGCCCTGAATCAAGCGGTTTCCTTTAACTTTGGATTCAACAGGAAACCTTAGTTGATCTTCAGAAGCCTGCATCTTATGTCCCACGACCCCTGGATTCCTTGCCTTACCCACGAGAGAGCCGCCGATTCCATCTAGTCCTCTCAAAACCCCCCGCAATCGCTCGTCGTCCAGCATTCCACGACGTCGCTTCGCCCAAGGGTAGACATCGATCGATAGCCATGGTTTGTGTGGGTATGGGGGAGGCCGTTGGTGCCGCCCCCACATCTCGTCGCTAGGCGATCGATACTGCGGAAGTCGCTTCGCGTCGTAGAATCGCCGCACCTTCCCATTGTGCTATTTGTTTTGAATTATCATTAGAGCTCGATTTTCTGAACGTGAGGTTCCCATGGGTTTTTGTCGTCGAAGGCGTAGTTTGTGTAACGTCGTTGTCGAAGTGGTGTAGATTAACCCGCGATTTTCAGATGGAAACTGAGGTTATCATTTTGGATTCTGACGACGAAGACAGCCGTCAAAGCATTCCGATGAATGGCTCTGCTTTGGCTTCTGTTGCTATTGTGAATTCGAAACCTCTGGATTTGGATGCTCTTGGTATGTGGACTTTTGCTAGGGTTTAAATTTTATTTTAAATTCATTTGTTAACCCGCAAGCTGTTCTACATTCATGGATGGCTATGTAGTTTCCTTGCGAAAAGTCCTCTCGAAGCAAGGGTTTCCTACATTCCTTAGATTATAGTGGCTCACTGAGGTTTCCATTTCTTTGTCGGGGATTCTCCAAACCCTATCCCGAACCCTAGATTTTTCTCTATTTTTCGCTATCCATGAAACAACGTGGGGTCTTTTCCTTTCTTCGTTCGATATTCCCCATCCATCTCTTTCCTCAGAAAACGGGGTTCTCCTTATGCTCCCCAATTTAAAGCGTAGCTGACCTGGGAGTTGGCTGGGGTGAAAACTGATGTTCAATGTGTACCAACAGCTTAAGTATGAATTAGGGCACAAGTGTAGTTTGGAGGGGCATCGCGGCGCAGTGGTCCACCCCTTCATCAGTTTAGTTTTTCCTAGGGGTGGAAACGCAGAGAAACGTTGTGCTCGCGCAGGCATGGGACTGTGCGAGTATGAAAATGGGAATGTTCGCCGTCGTTTTGAATGCGTTGAGTGCTGTGCGCCACGATGCCCCTCCTTCTCCAACTAAACTTGGGCCCGATTTAGTTGAAATGCCCGAAAAGTTCAAAACTGATCATTTGATTGAAATCTGTTACTAAACTTATCCTGTTTCACCGATATTGTTGGAGAAAATCCTTCCTCGTTAATTTGTGAAACTTGGGCCCTGTTGCGCATCTTTGGATTGTTTTCATTGAGAAGCTACTCCTTACATCGCTGCTTGTTCATAGGTATTGGAACAACAAGGACCGATGATGGAGTGCTGAGCAACAATCAAAATATTCACTATTATGGGATGCGCCAGATGGACGAAAGACCTCAAGGTTATATTGCGCCCAATAGAATCAAATCCAACACCAACGTTCCCTACATGCAAACGGTATGGTTTTTTTCTTTGGTTTTAGAAGTGATTGTTCAGAAGAAATTCAAAAGGATTTCTTCTTCATCACCGTCATTAAGACTTAAAGGATCAGTTTGTAGGAATTCTGTGGACCAATTTTGCGAAGGTAGCAGGCTTCATGCTGAAATTCGGGAGGATTTCTTCCTCACCACTAGCCGTGCATGAGCAAGAAATCCTCTCAAATTCATTTCTTTGAATTAGTTATTTTCCCAATTCTAGCACGTCTTTGTTTTCACACCACCACATATGTCCCACGAATGCATCTTTAGTCAGGCCGCCCTGGTTGGAAAAGCATGTTCAAAGCAATTTTCCTTGTCCCACAAAGGGAAGGAATGCAAGGAAGTGATGCACACGACCTCACTTCAAAATAATGTTTGGATAGCTCATGACTACCTGACTGACTGGACCGTAGTGAAGTTATTTGATTCTGATCTAGTGATGGTGAACAGAACACGAGTTCCTCGGCGCTGATGCGCTCATAATTTGCGCCGAGCTGAAGAAGCTGAGAGAAGGATTAGATAAGTATCGATTGAGGAGCCCCGCCCTCTGCATCTTTGTAGAATCGTCAGATGAGATCACTCGATATATGTTATCACTTTTCGCTAGTTTTCAGTTTGGCACAGTCTTAAAATTTTTTGAAAAGATGGTCCCATGGTTTTCATCCATGCAGCTAGACATAGATTTTGACTTTGTTTGAAATCCACTGCATCCTACTGAGCTCACGTGGAAATTGTTTGAACTATGTTAGGTAACTCCTATATCTCCGCAACGACCGCCGGTGAGACCACCGTACGAAAAGAGTCGACCGGTCCTTCAAGCGAGAGATGATGGCATAAGTGCAGTGTCCTTACTTGGAGGTGCTCCAACACTGGCTCGTCCTATAAACACGCGGTAAACCATTTTTACGATTCTTACTTTTTAAATCATCTAGCAGCTAAGTTTCAAATTTCAAACCTTCTATTTCAGACCATCAAGGAGTCAAAATCACTCTCCTTCTCCACGCAATGTGGTATGTTCTGATTTCTTAAATTGAAAGTGTCCATTTACATTCAACCTACTTTTTAGGTTCGGCATGTACCAGAATCACGTGTTCAAAATTATAACTTCGAAGTAAGCGGAGAAAAATCAAGTGACAACGATCGTCAGTTGTGTCCATCTCTGAAATTTAGGGTGAGATTTTTATTTTTCCCCTTCCAGCGTTGGAAATGGAGCAGAACACTGCGCAATCCAATATAATCTCAAAGAAAACGCAAAATGAATGACGCATTGTCGAAGTAGTAGCTTTAGTTGTTACACTGGGAATCATTGATTGGCCAAAGCTATAGAAGCATTCGGAAAATGTCATTCAAAGGATAATCTAAGATATTTTGAGATAGCATCCTCTCCAGCGGACCTAGGTGCAAAAATGAGTCCAGTAATAAGAGCTACTTCGTTTCGAATGAACCTCTTTGTTGGCGTTTCACATGTCGAGCTGTGGATCAGCACACCTAATCAAACTGGATTTTCTCTAATGATGGATTCAACATCCACCTAGCGAAGCTAGCGTAAATTGAAAATTTGGGCTGAATCCGACAACTTTTTATTTGTATGTGATATCACCAATGAATGCGGGAATGATAGGCAATCTAGAATTAATGTGCATTTAAAGTGTTTTTCGTAGTTCGCAGTACCAGTTTCACAAGCTCGATTCACCTCAAAGTTCGAGATACTATAATATTTTCGGAAAATGCCGCTTTTGTAATTAGTGGGGTCATCTTCGGCATTGAGAGTTTACAAGTGGGCTGTATAACTTAATGGTCTCAATAATTCTCCAACTGGACTATATAATTTAATGGTCGCAATAATGTTCAAGTGTGAAGTTTTGGCCAGAATAGCCTACAAATTTTTTGTGCTTGTATTTCACTGTAATAGCTGCTCGATATCGGGTGTTGTGCGCTAGGGCGACTTCTCCGCGTTTTACAGCGCGAAACTTTTATCGCTTAGGTCCTACATTCATCATAAGTGGACTTGGAGTTTCCGGAGCGAAAAGAGTTTTAGCGTTAAGTTAGAGCGGAGAAGTCGCTTCTCTAGCGAACCACACCCCTCGATATCTTCAGCTTGTTGTGCGACTGCTGAGGAAAGCTTTTTGAGGTCACAAGCTGAAACAGGAAATGTGGAAAATGATTCCTCAAAATTTATTTATTACTTTATGAAATATTTTCACATTTTTCTTTCCTGACTGGGAAAACACATTATCCAAAGGGATTCCCTTTCCTACTCCTCTGAAAAATGTGCATATTTGATTGATGGTCATGAAGGAGAACGAGCTCACCATTAGTCTGATTTCAAGGAGCCTAACGTTTGGCGATGAAAGAGACCTATCGAACTATGCACTGCTACTATGGAGTGCCGACTTAGATAATTTGTTTCACTCATTGCATTTTCAGTGTCAATACCCAAGTTGCCGACGTGTGATAACCGGTAACGTATCATTCGTCTGCCATCTTTGGGCGCACATAGCAACGTGGAAGGAATATGATCCGAAATCGCCCTCATTTCCAATACTCAGCGACAGTTCTATCTCCACGGCACCGTCTAAAAGAAACGACGTTGATATCCTATCGACTTGCCCGAGCTGTACTGCTCGATTTCACACTCCATACTTAATGCAGGTATCTGATAGAAGCATTTATCTCTTCCTATTTTATATATTATCACTTCCCACTTTTATAGAATGGGTACAATCGGGTGGTTTTTCTATACTCATAAAGATTTTTTAGAGGTTAAGTGAATGTTTTAAGGTGCACTATACACGATGTCATTCCCGACAACCCCAAGCTGTAAATCGAGCAACTTGCGCTATCTGCGAAAGAGACGTCCGCTCCGATGTAAGTTGTTATTAGGTTTGAATCTTTTTTAATTTGTAGGTAGTTCTGTTCTTCCAGGTTGGAGCTGCAAATGCACTGCGCACTCATCTACTAACGCATGAGCCAAATGATGCCCTTACCACTGCAAACGATGTCGCTATCGGTGCACAGTTCGAATGCACTTGTTTGATCATTTCGTTAGGGAGCACAAAAATACGAGGTTCATCGTTCTCTTTTTATTTTTTTTTCATTTTTCATTTTTCTTTTTTCACTTACGTGAACGTTGACAGTGTCTTAGTACAGTTCTTCCTATCGCTAAAAGAATTTCTTTTGCGATGTGCTTACTGATTGCGGTTCCCCATTTTGACGTAGTTTAGTCCTCGATTGGTCTAGAAAAGTGTACTTGTGCGTCTTCTTTGATTTAGAATGGGCTACTTATGCGTCTTGTTTTGCTCGGGTTCCAGTTGTCAGAGAGACCTTATAAGGATAGGTTGCATATGCTCATAAGAGTATAAACATTATTAAGAAAGCAAACGCATTCATGTGTATTTATTATCTGCTTTTCTAAAGCGGTCGGTTGTGAAGCCTTAAAACTTGAAAAATTAAGGGCGTAGCATTCTCCGGCTTCTCTCGCTACAACTCAAGCATATTAATTTGAAGTGTATCAGCGGCTTTAGTCTTATCAGGATGTTCTTTGGAATATCTACTCGATTAGGATGCGCGCTAAAGTTTCTGCCGCGCTGAGAATGAAATGGCGCACGCCTCGTTTATTGATTTTCTGTAGTGTCGGGAGGGAAATTTTACACAAACTCTCCTTAATTGGTATTTTGTGACCGAGTATATGTAGCCATTGAAAGCCCATACAGGAGGACATAATAAAAAATTTTTGTTGCTTTCAATTTAAACGCCGGTACCTCAATGTAGTTAATCCCGTGATTTAAAGTGTCCCGTTTACAGTCCAGTTAAAAGAAAGAACTTCAAATTAGTCTTGAACTCGTTCAGCAAGTGAAAGCTAGACAAGACTTATTGATAGAGAACAACTACATCCGCTTCTGATGGTCACATTTGAATTTGACCACTGAGCTTGTTTTACAACGACACGCTGTCTGAAGCGTTTCTCTTATTCATCCATTCTAGGTTTAAGTTAACTGATTTAGGTTTATTGTTTTTGTTTTATCTTTTAAATAGGATGCTCTTTATACAAATACAAGCATTTCTCTTAGAGGCTACAGTCGCCTACACATCTGATCAGTTTTGAAGTGTAAGTTATGTTCAACGATATGAATCATAAGTGTTTCGGGGCTGTGGTATTGGATTTGAATAGGACTTTTTTACTTAAGCACAATTTGAATGCGGTCCAACATTTGATGTAAAAACTTGTTTAATTTCCTCTTATGGTCGTGGGCAGCACAACTCCAGCCGTGATCGGAAAATCCATTCGTATTCACTTTTTTGATGCTTCAGTTCCTTTGCTTCCATGCTTCTATTTTGTTGTGTTTGAATTTGTTTTGTGCTTCTATTTTTGCAGCCATTTACGTATAGTCCATATCTTGGAACTCTGATTGGGCGTGTCCCTGGAAATGATGTGGTGGCCACCGCACTTGACAGAAGTTGCGCGGATAGGCTGCTTCCACCATGCTTTGCTGATTTCCAGCGAAGTATGTTAGAAACAACTTATCCACACGACTTCGTCAAGTGCAGTGGCCGCCACGTCATTTCGGGCTGACACGTGTCAGACTTCGAGATATGGACTGTAGACACCCATGCATGTATCATATAAGATGTCCGTTAGACTCGGCGATTGTGCCGAATCTGACGGACATCTGAGCTAGGAGCAGAAATGTGGAAACAAAAATCCACGATTTTCAATGGGTTGAAACAGTTTTTCCTTGGCGAAATCTATCTCGGATTATTCAAGGCAATTAAGTATAGTAGAAAGCTACACATGAAGAGTAGCTCCGACGGGTAGCTCTGTCACTGCGTATCTAGTTGAGAGCTCCAGTACGTATGAGCCGTCGGCTGGTCGCCGAAAGGCTAAACTTCTTTTTATCTAAGTAGGGGCTGTGTTCCCCGAAGAACTGTACAATGAATGAAGATATCAATGTCCTCTTCTTTGCTTTATTCTAAACTATTTCAAAGTGTCTCACTTTCATAATTGTATTTTTAGCACGCTCATGTGTCCATTCTGCACATTCACCCTGGTTGTTCCCTCGTATCAAAGAAAGCGACCAGTGATCCGTGTATCAGAGTTTGTTAATCACATGATAAGTCATGAATCGGGTGAGCGGTTTTATTCAAATTTCTTACATCACTTTTTCTAATTGGGCAATTCGTCATATTCCGGTTGCTTTAGAATCTCGTCTGGGTTGCGATCATTGCGCGCTGTCCTTTACAAATATTGCTGATAAGCAGAAGCATCGGAGGGATCATTCAGCGGTCAATCCTAAATGGACGATGACGTACAGGGTACACAGGGCAACATGTTTTTTTGTCTGATTCTGTTTTTTCTTTTTGTCGACGCTCGTTTTCTTCATAGATGTTTGTTTCCCTATCACATTTGTCACGGCTGTTCTTATTCTTTTCTTATCAGAATCCGGAGACTCGATCTCGCCAGCGAAGTCGGCTAGTATGTCAGGAGCAGAAACCTCAATACCAGTGTAAACAGTGCGTAAACAACGCAGACGGGACTGCTTCTAAAAAGTGTATTGCATGTGTCACGCTCGCGTTCAACGAAAGTTTATACGGTAATTCACGCATTGGTTTCAATAATATTAGTGTGCTTTTTAGTGAGAACTTCCATCCTAAATTTGTGTGATCTTAGGGGTTACATTGCAAGCTGACCAAACCGAGGGATATTCAGCTTTTTTTTCAGAAAAGTTGCTTTTCAGGAAAGAGGCGCATGGCAACTGATACTTCTGTTCGTCGAGGGATCGATGCACTGCAGTGCAGTCAACGTGGATTGCGATTCCACTGTCAGTGTGGAATGCGCACGCGGAATGGTAATCGTATGGCTCAACATTTCTACTATTGCAATAAGGATTTTGAGGTGAATTGAATATCCTCTTCTGCAGCACCTATTTTCCTAGATATTGCAGTTATTATATCAGTGGTTCTTATCTTTTTTGTGTGTATTCTTTGATTAGACGCGTTATGAATCAAATAATCACTTGTCAGTAACAACTATATGGGCAAAAATAATCGGCCAATTGTTTTGGGAGTAAACGTTGGCGGAAGGCAAATTAGTGAGCGAGGTCTTTTACCACAGAATGGCTCGCAATCCAGTTCATTCAATCGCTTCCATGCGATCGCAACGATCAGACGATCGGATGAACCGAGCGGTCGACGATCGATGCTTATCCACCCCACATTGGTTGTGTAGCCGGATTATTTATTTATTAATTTAACACACTAAAAGATGTGCGCAAGCATTTGAGCAATACATGTAGGGAGGGTAATTGTAATGAAATGAAAACACTGTCCGGCTAAACTGAAGCGGCGGCCTTGGCCTTAGAAGTCACTTGGAGCCATAAATCAGATTTCCGATATTAAAATAATTGTACAGGGTGGGGCAAAATTACTGGTGCACTAAATTTTCAATGGCATTTTGACAATAATTCTCACAAATCAATTCTAATTATCAATATTATTTACTACAAACATGACAATACAAAAAATGTTAATGCTTCTCAAAATGATCTCCTTTAGCCTTCACACAGTCCTTCAGACGTTCGACAAATGCTTCGCATGTGGCACGCAGGTACTGGTCATCGATTTCGTCCCAAGATTTTGAAAGCGCCGCCTTAAGAGAGTCCAAGTTTGGATGTCTGGTAGAACACGCTTTGCTCTCCAAGATGGACCACACAGAGTAATCCATCGGGTTTAGATCAGGAGAACTGGAGGGCCATTCGTCGTGTCTGATGAAGTCGGGCAGGTGCTCGGCGCACCACTCCTGGACCATCTTTGCTTTGTGTGCTGGAGCAGAATCCTGCTGGAAGCACCAGTAGGCTTCTCCGAAATGGGAGTTGGCCCACGGCTTGAGAACTTCCTCCAGGATATTTTTGTAAACCTCTGCGTTGATTTTTACACCAGCTTCAACGAAAACAAGTGGGGTCTTCCCCGTAGAGGTGATTGCCTTGGTGGTAGCATCAGCAAGTGATCCTGCAATAATCCTCTCATTTTGGGAGTTGAAGGCTGGATTCAGAGTAAAAATCTTTTCATCACTGAAAACGATGTCTCGGGCGCGTGCCACCGTGAATCGCTGCAGCAACTTCTTGCTTCTGCTTTGCATCTCTCC